GCGGCTCACTCTTGGATTGCGTCCTACCTGACAGGTCGCTCCTACCAAGTGGCGTGGCGAGAATCTGTCTCCGCACCACGTGCTCTCACCACTGGTGTCCCCCAGGGCTCAGTTCTAGGCCCTCTCCTATTCTTGTTATACACCAAGTCACTTGGCTCTGTCATATCCTCACATGGCGTCTCCTATCATTGCTACGCAGACGACACACAATTAATCTTCTCCTTTCCCCCTTCTGATAACCAGGTGGCGAATCACATCTCTGCATGTCTGGCAGACATATCAGTGTGGATGACGGCTCACCACCTCAAGCTGAACCTCGGCAAGACGGAGCTGCTCTTCCTCCCGGGGAAGGACTACCCATTCCATGATCTCGCCATCACGGTTGACAACTCCGTTGTGTCCTCCTCCCAGAGTGCAAAGAGCCTTGGCGTGACCCAGGACAACTCCCTGTCGTTCTAACATCAAGGTGGTGACCCGATCCTGTAGGTTCATGCTCTACAACATTCGCAGAGTACGACCCTGCCTTACACAGGAAGCGGCACAGGTCCTAATCCAGGCACTTGTCATCTCTCGTCTGGATTACTGCAACTCACTGTTGGCTGGGCTCCCTGCCTGTGCCATTAAACCCCTACAACTCATCCAGAACACAGCAGCCCATCTGGTGTTCAACCTTCCCAAGTTCTCTCACGTCACCCCGCTCCTCCGCACACTCCACTGGCTTCCAGTTGAAGCTCGCATCTGCTACAAGACCATGGTGCTTGCCTACGGAGCTCTAAGGGGAACGGCACCTCCGTACCTTCAGGCTCTGATCAGTCCCTACACCCAAACAAGGGCATTGCGTTCATCCACCTCTGGCTTGCTGGCCCCCCTACCTCTGCGGGACCACAGTTCCCGCACAGCCCAGTCAAAACTGTTCGCTGCTCTGGCACCCCAATGGTTGAACAAGCTCCCTCACGACGCCAGGACAGCAGAGTCACTCACCACCTTCCGGAGACACTTGAAACCCCACCTCTTTAAGGAATACCTGGGATAGGATAAAGTAATCCTTCTACCCCCCCCCCCCAAAAAAAAAGTGGTTGTCCCACTGGCTATCATAAGGTGAATGCACCAATTTGTAAGTCGCTCTGGATAAGAGCGTCTGCTAAATGACGAAAATGTAAATGTAAATGTAACATTCAAAAACTTTAAGGATATTAAAAAAGATATATATATATATACTACCAGTCAAAAGTTTGGACACATCTACTCATTCAAGGGTTTATCTTTATTTTTACTGTTTTCTACATTGTAGAATAATAGTGAAGACATCTGTTACGTGAATTATTTAACAAACTATTTCAGTGTCTCTGTGCGTCTCCCAAAAGGTTGTAAGTCTTTTGGGATTTAAGTAACGGACAGAGTCCCGGTCTGCATAGTCAGAGATTTATTAATTGAGAATTCTGCCATCACAATTTCAGAGTCCATCTTTTATACTCATACGTCATACAAAAATCCCTCCTCTGTTGAGGCGGGTTGTAGTTTTCCACTTTAAAACTGCTCTCCTAACCATTAGGTCACACACACATACACATACACACACACACACAGCCACACATGCATACACACATAGGCTGCCTCACAATATCCTGCACCATATTTCATACTTCTTAAAAAGCCTAACAGTTTCTCTCCTCCCTAAATTCCTCAGTTATCTTGGTTTCTCAGTTGCCTGTAGACAGTTCTCCTTGTCCTTTGTTGTCTGGTCTAACTCTTACTCACATTGCTAAATAGTAGCTCAATGTCATAGTCTTTACTGGTCCTACACTCACACATTCTAACACATTTCACACAGTTTCAGGGTGTAATAATTAGTCATTAATAATTAATCTATCAACATCAAAACTATGAAATAACACATATGGAATCATGTAGTAACCAAAAAAGTGTTAAACAAATCAAAATATGTTTTATATTTGAGATTCTTCAAATAGCCACCCTTTGCCTTGATGACAGCTTTGCACACTCTTGGCATTCTCTCAACCAGCTTCATGAGGTAGTCACCTGGAATGCATTTCAATTAACAGGTGTGCCTTCTTAAAAGTTAATTTGTGGAATTTCTTTCCTTCTTAATGCGTTTGAGCCAATCAGTTAAGATAAGTTCATTAGAGTTATCAGCCTCAGAAATTGCAGCCCAAATAAATGCTTCACAGAGTTCATGTAACAGATACATCGCAACATCAACTGTTCAGAGGAGACTGTGTGAATCAGGCCTTCATGGTCGAATTGCTGCAAAGAAACCACTACTAAAGGACATCAATAATAAGAAGAGACCTGCTTGGGCCAAGAAACACGAGCAATGGACATTAGACCGGTGGAAATGTGTCCTTTAGTCTGGAGTCCAAATTTGAGATTTTTGGTTCCAACCGTTGTGTCTTTGTGAGACGCAGTGTGGGTGAACGGATGATCTCTGCATGTGTAGTTCCCACCGTAAAGCATGGAGGAGGAGGTGTTATGGTGTGCTTTGCTGGTGACACTGTCTGTGATTTATTTAGAATTCTAGGCACACTTAACCAGAATGGCTACCATAGCATTCTGCAGCGATACGCCATCCCATCTGGTTTGGGCTTAGTGGGACTATCATTTGTTTTTCAACAGGACAATGACCCAACACACCTCCAGGCTGTGTAAGGGCTATTTTACCATGAAGGAGAGCGATGGAGTGCTGCATCAGATGACCGGACCTCCACAATCCCCCGACCTCAACCCAATTGAGATGGTTTGGGATGAGTCGGACGGCAGAGTGAAGGAAAAGCAGCCAACAAATGCTCAGCATGTGGGAACTCCTTCAAGACTGTTGGAAAAGCATTCCAGGTGAAGCTGGTTGAGAGAATGCCAAGTGTGCAAAGCTGTCATCAAGGCAAAGGGTGGCTATTTGAAGAATCTCAAATATTTACATTTTACATTTACATTTTTAGTCATTTAGCAGACGCTCTTATCCAGAGCGACTTACAGTTAGTGAGTGCATACATTATTATTTTTTCATACTGGCCCCCCGTGGGAATCGAACCCACAACCCTGGCGTTGCAAACGCCATGCTCTACCAATTGAGCTACATCCCTAAATATAAAATATATTTTGATTTGTTTAACACTTTTTTGGTTACTACATGATTCCATGTGTTATTTCATCGTTTTGATGTCTTCACTATTATTCTACAATGTAGAAAATTGTAAAAATAAAGAAAAACCCTTGAATGAGTAGGTGTGTCCAAACTTTTGACTGGTACTGTATATACATTTCTATATTTTTTTCCATTATTATGTTTAGCTCACATATAATTTAAAAGTATGCATTAAAGCTGCAATATGTAAGAAATGTGTGTTAGAAATGTGTGTTATAGATCTGTCATTCACATTGAAAGCAAGTCTAAGAAGCGGTATATCTGTTCTATGTGCGCTATTGCTATGCTTCCCATTCTTATGTTTCGTTTGTCGTCTTTTACTTTCGGTTTTGTACACCAGTTTCAAACAGCTGAAAATACAATATTTATGGTTATTGAAAATATATTTCACAGCGGTTTAGATGGTACAATGATTCTCTACACTATACATTGCTTGTTTTGTCACAAACTGTAATTAGGCAAACTATAAAAAAAATTGCAACCAGGAAATGGCGGAGCGATTTCTGCATATTTCACCTTTAAGGCGTCTGTAATAGAATAAAAGTGGCAAAAACAAATGGAGATAATAAATGTATTTCTATAGTTCCAAAATATTTTTTTTACAATGGTGGGGGAGTGCCAAGATGGAAGCACGGTGGCTTCAAAACAACGCCCACTGTTAGTCATCTAGTGTATGTATAAATCATTACTCCTATCTATGTAATAACCAAATTAGTGCATATAAATCAATTACAGGGTGTATAGGTAGCCTAAATTATAAACGGTTAATTATTGTTTCTTTAGTTTATACAGCTGTTTTCAGATTCAGCAAGTAGCTTATCACTAAAAGATGAACCGCAGAGTCCTATTCATATGAATTCAGCACCATGATTAGCAGTAATGGACATCTGAGGTTGGTGTGGCTTTCCCCTTATTGTCTGGAGGATTGAGAAATATATTTGTTGGTCACACACACACACACACACACACACACACAATGAAACAGGACAGTTATCAAAACAAATATTTTATTCTCATAATTTCTGTTAAATACCCAATGGCATAGTCGAGAGGACACATTCTCAAATATGGAAGAAACTCAATCAAGGAAGAATAAAGGGCGTTTATGGCTCATATTTCCCAAACTGTATTAGTAGATCTCTAAATATCATGCGTTGACAGTTCAAAATTGCATCCGTTCAAAAAGGTGTCTTCCATTGGTAGAACAGTGAATTCCAGAAGATGTCCTCTATGGCTCACTCTCCAGTCTCAATGGCCATGTGCTCCATCACTGTGGACTGTGTGAGTGAAATCTCTATGAGCCATGTCTCTGTAGTGTGTAAACATACACTGATTGTACTAAACATTAGGAACACCTTCCTAGTATTGAGTTGCACCCCCTTTTGCCATCAGAACAGCCTCAATTCGTCGGGGCATGGACTACAAGGTGTCGAAAGAGTTCCACTGGGATGCTGCCCCATGTTGACTCCAATGCTTCCCACAGTTGTGTCAAGTTGGCTGGATGTCCTTTGGGTGGTGGACCATTCTTGATACACACAGGAAATGGTTGAGGGTGGAAAAACCCAGCAGCTTTGCAGTTCTTGACACACTCAAACCGGTGTGCCTGGCACCTACTACCATACCCCGTTCAAAGGCACTTAAATCTTTTGTCTTGCCCATTCACCCTCTGAATGGCACACACACAATCCATGTATCAATTGTCTCAAGGCTTAAAAATCCTTATTTAAACTGTCTCCTCCCCTTCATCTACACTGATTGAAGTGGATTTAACAGGTGACATCAATAAGGGATCATAGCTTTCACCTGGTCAGTCTATGTCATGGCAAGAGCAGATGTTCCTAATGTTTTGTACACTCAGTGTATAGGCACTCTGTATGACTGGCCGTTTGGCCTGTGTGCAGTGAGGCAAACTGTAGCATAGGGTCTTGTTGGCTTTAACAGTGGCCCCACTCTCCTTCCTCCATTTCCCCCAGGAAGAGCTTTATATTGCACATAACCTTGATTAAAAACAAAATCCACGACAACCAAGAGAACTGACAAAATAGACTAAGAGGTGTTAAAAAAGGATCACCATGTCAGACAATGTCTTGCAGTCCCTCTGCTTTGTAGTATCTTTGTCAGTGCAGTCACCCCTTGGCCTCCTCCTCCTCCAGATCTAGACCTCAATGGTTTTGAAGTAGATGCGGGCGTAGATGGTGTCTAGCTGGCTGTGCAGGGCGTGGAAGGAGGGCCGCTTGGAGGCCTCGGGGTTCCAGCACTCCAACATGATGCGATAGATGTTGGGGGGACACCTACTGGGACAGGGCAACCTGTAACCTGTCGACAGGAGCTCCAGCACCTCCGTATTGCTCTTCCCTGTGTGTTTGTGAGTGAGAAGAAACATATTAATCAGAGGGAGAAATATCCATCAGAGGGAAATATTCAAAAGCATTTTTACAGATAGAGGTAATAGATTAACTGTCAAGAGGATTGACTGTTCCTCTTGTGATAATGTGGTGTATATTTGTAAAAAAATAGAGTCCAGAGAACATTGTCTTGAAAAGGTTTGACACACACACACCATCGTATGGCATCTTTCCTCGTGACATCATCTCGTAGAGCAGCACACCGAAGGACCAGACGTCAGACTTGACAGAGAAGCGCTGATAGAGAGCAGCCTCAGGGGCCGTCCATCTCACTGGGATCTTAGTGCTTCTACTGGCCGTGTACACACTGTCCTACACACACACACACACACACACACACAGAGGGGAAATATATAACCATCTGTTTTTACCTATAATTTTTTCATATTCCCTTGGAAATGTCCAGAAAGAAAGTAGCTTTTAAGCAAGAACTTTCCTTGCTTCATCTGAGAGTGAACAATTTATCCTTTACCCGGATAGGTAAGCCCAACATATAGCATATTTTTCTACAGCATTTTTTACTTTACCTATTGGCTGTTCTCCCTCTTTATTTCCCCATACATTTCACATTTATGTCACATCCATTCCATTCTTACCTTAATGATCCGTGCCAGGCCAAAGTCAGCCACTTTACAGACCAGATCATCTCCCACCAGGATGTTCCTGGCCGCCAGGTCCCTGTGCACGATGTGTCGGTCCTCCAGGTAGGCCATGCCCTCACCCACCTGGCTGCCCATGTAGATGAGGTGGGCAGAGGTCAGCACCTGACCCTCCGGCGCTGGAACAGCACAGGGAGCAGACTGGTCAGGATCGATCAAGCATTGTAGGGTCTGAATAGTTACTCAATTGCTCCAACACATACCTTTATTGGTTTTCAATTACAAAAGGATCTTTGTTAGGTCACTGTCGGAGCAATCAAATGTGCAAGCTCTAAGCCCTATACTGTAGTGCTATACATGATTATTTCAGCCTAGCACCCTATGAAAAGCGATGTGTGTTGACTACATATGTTATTGGTCAAGCATAATCATCTGTGAACACATAACATACACTGCATGCAGAGGGAAGTGTGGGTGTGTGACTCACTGCCCAGATAGGACTTGAGGCTGCCCTTGGTCATGAGCTCAGTGACTATGTAGACAGGCTCTCCTCTGGAACACAGGGCCAGCAGCTGGATCAGCTTGGGGTGGTGGAGGTTCTTCAGGGCCTGGATCTCCTTCACAAACTCATCCTGCTTAGTGTCCTCTGCAGGAGTGACAAAGACAGAGAGAGGCTGAGGTCAGTGCTCTTCAGGTTGGAGTGTGTGTGATAAAGAGCTTAGGACTGACCATATGAAGCATTATAATCCCTTTATGAACAATGTGAGGGCCCTGACCTGAATGGACTGACTCAGTGAGTGTGTAATTGTGTTTGTATGCATGCCTGCAATAACGTTTTTCCATTGCAGCATTTGCCCATCTGCAGTATGTCATTGAAAATAATTCCCTCATCAATTCGTCAAGTTGAATTTTATCAGTGATCATGCCCAGAAAGATTATGCCAAAATTCTGCTTGTAGTGTGCGGAATCATGTATAACACTGTAGTTAATATAATAGCAGCAAGAGCTAGCATGCCTACCTTGTTTGAGCATCTTGATGGCCACCCTTTTGTTCTGGCTGGTCCACAGGGCCTCCCACACCTCTCCAAAGTGGCCCTCTCCCAGCTTCATGTGCAGTTTAAACTCCTCCCGAGGACGCTCCCAGGGCTCCATGTCAAACAGTTCTCTCTGAGGACACCACAACAACATTGTTACAACCAGCCTCATACAAAAAGGGACACCACAACACTGTTACAGCCACACAGAACTCACAGCTACCGAGTATGGCGAATACTTTCAAATACTTGAGCTGCGCTGGATTTTGTTTGCCCAGTACAATGGAACCAATTAAATAGTCCCGAAATGGCAAATTCCAAGCTAAATTACGTGTGTGTGTGTGTGTGTGATGCTCAGATAGCTTCAGTACATTAAAAAATAGGGACGTTTCTTTAAAAACACAAGCTCTTTTAAAAATAAAAATGTATCATTGATCATTAAGTGACACAAAATAAATGTCAATCAAGAAACGATCAATAAATACTCTACAATGATTGATCTATATCAGGGTTCCCCAACTGGCGGCGGGATGCTTTTATTTGGCCCCCAAGTTTTCCGAACAAAAAAGAACAAATATATTTTTTTTTGTTTTTTCATTGTTGGACATACAGTGGGGGAAAAAAGTATTTGATCCCCTGCTGATTTTGTACGTTTGCCCACTGACAAAGACATGATCAGTCTATAATTTTAATGGTAGGTTTATTTGAACAGTGAGAGACAGAATAACAACAAATAAATCCAGAAAAATGCATGTCAAAAATGTTATAAATTGATTTGCATTTTAATGAGGGAAATAAGTATTTGACCCCTCTGCAAAACATGACTTAGTACTTGGTGGCAAAACCCTTGTTGGCAATCACAGATGTCAGATGTTTCTTATAGTTGGCCACCAGGTTTGCACACATCTCAGGAGGGATTTTGTTCCACTCCTCTTTGCAGAGCTTCTCCAAGTCATTAAGGTTTCGAGGCTGGCGTTTGACAACTCGAACCGTCAGCTCCCTCCACAGATTTTCTATGGGATTAAGGTCTGGAGACTGGCTAGGCCACTCCAGGACCTTAATGTGCTTCTTCTTGAGCCACTCCTTTGTTGCCTTGGCCGTGTGTTTTGGGTCATTGTCATGCTGGAATACCCATCCACGACCCATTTTCAATGCCCTGGTTGAGGGAAGGAGGTTCTCACCCAAGATTTGACGGTACATGGCACGGTCCATCGTACCTTTGATGCGGTGAAGTTGTCCTATCCCCTTAGCAGAAAAACACCCCCAAAGCATAATGTTTCCACCTCCATGTTTGACGGTGGGGATGGTGTTCTTGGGGTCATAGGCAGCATTCCTCCTCCTCCAAACACGGCGAGTTGAGTTGATGCCAAAGAGCTAAATTTTGGTCTCATCTGACCATAACACTTTCACCCAGTTCTCCTCTGAATCATTCAGATGTTCATTGGCAAACTTCAGACGGCCCTGTATATGTGCTTTCTTGAGCTTGTTACAAATTGTTTTCATGGTGACTATGGTCCCAGCTGCCTTGAGATCATTGACAAGATCCTCCCGTGTAGTTCTGGGCTGATTTCTCACTGTTCTCATGATCATTGCAACTCCACGAGGTGAGATCTTGCATGGAGCCCCAGGCCGAGGGAGATTGACAGTTATTTTGTGTTTCTTCCATTTGCGAATAATCGCACCAACTGTTGTCACCTTCTCACCAAGCTGCTTGGCGATGGTCTTGTAGCCCATTCCAGCCTTGTGTAGGTCTACAATCTTGTCCCTGACATCCTTGGAGAGCTCTTTGGTCTTGGCCATGGTGGAGAGTTTGGAATCTGATTGATTGATTGCTTATATGGACAGGTGTCTTTTATACAGGTAACAAGCTGAGATTAGGAGCACTCCCTTTAAGAGTGTGCTCCTAATCTCAGCTCGTTACCTGTATAAAAGACACCTGGGAGCCAGAAATCTTTCTGATTGAGAGGGGGTCAAATACTTATTTCCCTCATTAAAATCCAAATCAATTTATAACATTTTTGACATGCGTTTTTCTGGATTTTTTTGTTGTTATTCTGTCTCTCACTGTTCAAATGAACCTACCATTAAAATTATAGACTGATCATTTCTTTGTCAGTGGGCAAACGTACAAAATCAGCAGGGGATCAAATACCTTTTCCCTCACTGTAAAACACTGTAAAAACAGTTCCAAAATTAAAATCACTTGGACATCTGTTCCAAAGTATTCTCACACATAATAGTGATTGTATACAAATGTAAGCAAGGTTTGAAATGATTATGTTTTAGTCAAATTTTATCTCAGTTTGGGCTTCTTGCGGTCTACAAATTATTTGTAATTATGTTCCGGCTCCCCCAACCATCTGCTCAAGAAAAACATAGTCCCACGGCTGAATCTAGTTGATGATCCCTGATCTATATATACTTAAATGACTGTGGAATTAACATTGTGATCATCTTGGAAAATCAAAATACACAACATAAATAATTCAATAAAGAAAAGACATATACCATTTTTAAAAAGCTCATTTCAATCTGATGAAGAGATCAACTAGTCTTGGTATGAGCATCTCATGTACTCTTCTCTTTAGTCAAATTGAACATAAAAATAAAAAGTAGCCTTGCACGAGCCTTGGCTTGTGCAAGCCAGAACGGCTCATAGGAGCAGGAGCCCATCTCCTGTTTCTGTAGCTTGAGGCAGCTTGATGTACAAGTACACCCCTTGGACAGGATGCTAGTCTAATGCAGGGCCTTACCTCCAATCTATCTCCTTAATGCGGAGTGCCAAGCAGAGACGCATCGGGTCCCATTTTTACAGTCTTTGGTATGACTCAGCCGGGGATCGAACTCTCAACCTTCCAATCTCAGGGCGGACACTCTAACCACAAGGCCACCGAGTTGGTCAAATTGAACATGGAGGACAGAAATTATTTTGGATACAATAAAACTGCATCTACAATCAAATTGTGTATGAAATGGCAACAGTATCAGTCTAACTGCTGAATAAATGCAAATACAATAAAAAAAGCTAAATTGAAAAGTAGAAAATCATGATAAATCTTGAAAAGTAGAACATTTTGAAATAACAAATGGTGAAATAAAAAGGGCCTGGAGTGAAGGGCGAGCGTTTGTGTGTCTGTGCGTCTCCGCTGGAAAGGAAGAGAAAAGAGTCTGGAATCACGGAGAGGCCTCCAGTAAAAACAGCCTGATCCCTGCCACTACACTTTCTTGATTCCCTAATGATGTCAAAGTAAACACATATTTCGGGGAATATGTGGGCCAAAAACGAACATATTCACCATCCACAAAATAACTGGATTGTGAATGGTATCCACAAAGTTTAAGTGTGTGTGTGATTCGGTTTGGTACACACACCTGCTGTGCACATGGCTCATCCAGAGTCACTCCTAGACTCCTGGAGTTGTTCTGGTAGTATCGGATCAGCTCCCCCAGAGTGGCCAAAGGAAATCTTGTCTGACACAAAGTACGCCCCAATCGATGAACGCTGGATTCGGAAATGGAAGACTTTCCCATCGTTTCTGCCTGTGGAGGACAGGGCAAACATGATTTGACTGTTTTATGTTTTTCTACACATTTCAAAAACAGTGGTTTGCACACAAAAACGGACAAACTCCAAAAGTATTTAATTCTCAATTTTAAATGTCACACACACACACATTTGAACAAACTAATATTCACAACAAGACATATAAGCATTGAGTTAGAGATTGCTCTCTAGGCTTACAGTACAGTGGGTGATGAAATGTAGGAGGTTTGCAACTAAATAAGTACTTCATCGCCACCCACTGGTGAATGAACGGTAGCACATCCTTTTACATCTGTTTCCACTGGTATTTGCATATTATTTAATAGGGAATTGTGTGCTAACAGCATAGAATTACATATTAAAACTCTGTTTAATGTAATTGAATAGGATTTCCATGGGTAACAATGGGTTCTTTCTGGTATTTACGTCAATGAATTCAACAGAGCTACTGGGTAGGCTACCATATGGTGCCTATGGCGCTTGTGTTAATGAATTCCAAAGAAACTAACATGTAATTATTAGGTTAACATAAAGTAATCATGTTACCATGGCAATATAGGCTTACCTGAGATGGTGTATTCATCGCTGTGGCTCTCGCTGATGCGCACCAGGAACGAGCCATCCTTATTCTGAGAGGCCAGGAGCAGTTTCTCAGCCTTCACCCGGTTAATGTTCCCATAGTACCACCTCAACAGACAGACAGATGGATGAACAGACAGACAGGGAAAGAGGCAGACAGTCACAGAGAAAAAATAGAGATGCACAATTGCACACATGAGCAGACAAGAGTACACACACACCGACACACACACACACACACAATAAGCACATGACAGGCTGGTGAGATTGGATGACCATGATGAGGTAGGCTAAGGTGTTTTCACACTTGGTCCCTTCAGCCAATTTTTGTTAACTCAGTGCAGTTCGCTTAATTTTTTGTGCAGTGTGAACACTCCAAAGGAACTCAGACTCCTCAAAAGAGCCCCCGAACTGAACTGAGACCATCTCGAGAGGTGGTCCGAGTTCGGTTCACTTGAAAGCTCCCCAGGTTCGCTTGTCATTATTCCCGCACCACACACTAGACTACTGTAACACAGTTTCCCCTGCCATAACCCCGCACATTAGTGCCACAAAAGAGAGGAGGATGATGTGGAGGTTCCCAGAAAAAACGTGTGCTGTTTTTGGATATTGATTAGCAATTGTCAAGGATGCACAGAAATTCCAAAATGTGTGTGGAGTTTTTAGTTCCCATTATTTGTTTACAATAAGTGAACTATAGGCTAAGAAAGCTTCTTATTCGATTGTGGGTTTTGAATAGATTGAGAAGACAACATGTTTGTTGAGAATCACAATCAAAAGTACAAAATCAATTCTAGCTCTTAAAAGGGGCAGTAGCCTACATTGGGTGTACAATTTTCAATTACAGCATTATTTAATCTGCAGTTATTCTTCTGCTATTTATTCTGTTACCAATAATATGTACATGTTAATAGTACTGGATCTTCTGGTTGCATTTAGTTAAAAGATTAGACATAATAACTGTAATCTATTCGCGTCCAAAATGTAAGTAAGTATATCTACTGTAGCTTTCCGATAACATGTTCTGATGGAATGGCTTGCCCTGCACTTTGGAGTTTCTATTGCAAGGCCATCAGACTGTTAAATAGTCAACACTAGCCGGCCCCCACCCAGTACCCTGCACTGAACTTTAGTCACTGTCACTAGACGGCTACCACCCAGTTACTCTACCATGTACCTTAGAGGCTGCTGCCCTATGTACATAGTCATGGAACACTGGTCACTTTAATAATGTTTACATACTGTTTTACCCACTTCATATGTATATACTGTACTCTAATCAAGACCTATCCTATTTAACTATTGCTGTACATAGACTATTCTTCAGATATACTACATGTTCTATCCATATACTGTCCATACATCCCATCACACACACACACACACACACACACACACACACACACTGAACAAACATATAAAAGCAATGTAAAGTGTTGGGCCCATGTTTCATGAGCTGAAATAAAAGATCCAAGAAGCTTATTTCTCTAAAATGTTGTGCACAAATTTGTTTACATCCCTGTTAGTGAGTATTTCTCCTTTGCCAAGATAATCCATCCACCTGACAGGTGTGGAATATCAAGAAGCTGATTAAACAGCATGATCATTACACAGGTGCACCTTGTGCTGGGAACAATAAAAAGGCCACTAAAATGTGCAGTTTTGTCACAACACAATGCCACAGATGTCTTAAGTTTTGAGGGAGCATGCAATTGGCATGCTGACTGCAGGAATGTCCACCAGAACTGTTGCTAGATAATTGAATGTCCATTTCTCTACCATAAGCCGCCTCCAACGTCGTTTTAGACAAATTGGCAGTACGTCCAACCGGCCTCACAACCGCAGACCACGTGTAACCATGCCAGCCCAGGACCTCCACATCCGGCTTCTTCACCTGCAGATTTCGTCTGAGACCAGCCACCCGGAAAACTGATGAAACTGAGGAGTATTTCTGTCTGTAATAAAGGGCCTATGCCCTCCCAGGCCCACCCATGGCTGAGCCCCTGCCCAGTCATGTAAAATCCATAGATTAGGCGCTAATGAATTTATTTCAATTGAATGGGATGAGTTGGACCGCAGAGTGAAGGAAAAGCAGCCAACGAGTGATCAGCATATGTGGGAACTCCTTCAAGACCGTTGGAAAAGCATTCCAGGTGACTACCTCATGAAGCTGGTTGACAGAATGTGAAGAGTGTGCAAAGCTGTCATCAAGGCAAAGGGTGGCTACTTTGAAGAATCTCAAATATAAAATATATTTAGATTTGTTTAACACTTTTTTGGTTACTACATGATTTCATGTGTTATGTCATAGTTTTGATGTCTTCACTATTATTCTACAATGTAAAAAAAATAGTAGAAAAACCCTTGAAGGTACGTACAGTTGAAGTCAGAAGTTTACATACTCATTAGCCAAATACATTTAAACTCAGTTTTTCACAATTCCTGACATTTAATCCTAGTAAAAATTCCCTCTAGGAGACAGAACGAGTCTCCTTCCTGAGCGGTATGATGGCTGCGTGGTCCCATGGTGTTTATACTTGCGTACTATTGTTTGTACAGATGAACGTGTTACCTTCAGGCGTTTGGAAATTTCTCCCAAGGATGAACCAGACTTGTGGAGGTCTACAATTTTTCCATGATGTCAAGCAAAGAGGCACTGAGTTTGAAGGTAGGCCTTGAACTACATCCACAGGTATACCTCCAATTGACTCAAATTATGTCAATTAGCCTATCAGAAGCTTCTAAAGCCATGACATCATTTCTGGAATTTTCCAAGCTGTTTAAAGGCACAGTCAACTTAGTGTATGTAAACTTCTGACCCACTGGAATTGTGATACAGTGAATTATAAGTGAAATAATCTGTCTGTAAACAATTGTTGGAAAAATTACTTTTGTCATGCACATAGTAGATATCCTAACCGACTTGCCAAAACTATAGTTTGTTAACAAGACATTTGAGGAGTGGTTGAAGAACGAGTTTTAATGACTCCAACCTAAGTGTATGTAAACTTCCGACTTCAACTGTATGTGTGTCTAAACTTTTGACTAGTAGTATATATATATACACACACACACTCCAGACTTCAACACTGCTCGTCCTAATATTGTTATCTTTCTTAATTCCATTCTTGTACTTTTTAGATATGTGTATTGTTGTGTATTATTAGATATTACTGCACTGTTGGAGCTAGGAACACAAGCATTTTGCTACAACCGCAATAACATCTGCTAAATATGTGTATCCGTCCAATAAAATATGATTGGAATGGTAAAAACCCAGAGTGCATTGAGTGAATGTTGGAGAAAGATATTGGTTACTTTCTAAACTTAGCAATGTGAATGCAAAGAGGACTCGTGAAGTGAATTGGCAAAAGAGTTGAGTCCTCATTCAAAGGCAAGGGCAGTGTGAATACAAAGAGAACTGACTTATTTTGCTTTTTTTTTTACACCAGAGTTCACTTTAAAGAGGACTGATATCAGTCATTTTAAAGAGGAGCATATGTGAAAACACCCTTCTAGCTGCTTTGAGTGGAAAAGTAGGTGTGGTTTATAGGCTATACTTCAGCCAGATAGTAAGGAAGGCTATTTACACTGATTATCAAGAATGGGTGCGCCTGTGCTGTTCTGCAAACGCTATACACATTTCCATTATGCTCAGGTTTCACCTGAAACTCTGTCAAGTGTGGGTGTGAGCTGAGTGGAAAGCTTATCATAGTTGCCAAAAGTTATGTATCCACTGCTGTACCTAGCATAGCTCTTAAAGCTACAACTTGGCTGCACTTGCACTAATCTGACCACAAAGGCAGGAACTATTTGTATAGCCACATAGGCCTACAGAAACTTAATACAGTGCAATTGTTATACACTACAATGTTGTGCACTGTGCAGTAGTGACCACGAAGGGAGGGATGGGTGCTGCAGTGTCACTTCTCTGTCAACAAACACTGACCTTATCAATGATCAGGAGGCCAAATCTTGTTTTTGCAGCCTCAATTAACATATTATGTTGAAGATAGCCTACCTTCTTGATAAACCTGGTAGACATAGTTGAAAAACATGGTCCTACACAATATATTGGACATCGTGAAATCTCAACCGCATATTATGAATGAATCAATATTGAGGTTTCTCTCAGAAGCCCCACTCACTTGTGATTAGCAAACTCGTCCTGTAGAATGGCCACATACGTAGCCGGGACCAGTCCGGACTCCATCGAACCGGTAAGTTTCTTGGCAAGCACATAATCCCCTCTCTTTTCTATTACCGACAGCTTGTCACCTTCCTTGATAGTCAGCTCCTCTTCGCTCCTGGCTTCGAAATCAAACAGTGCCGCATAGAGCTGAGTCGGTTTCTTCTTGGGGGACGGAGCACGGATATCACCTGAAATAGTTGGGATTTCGGCTGGTTGGGTGATATTTGGGTAATGGAATTCGGGCCATATCCAGTTCCACAGCCGACTACAACATGGCATGCAACTACGACAACAACCCTCCATCCCAAACCAGTCACAACGCCGAGGTATCCCAGGGTTTTTTTAGGAACCGCGACAAATACGACGCGAAAATAAATGTGCCTATTTAGGAACGACAGAGGCCTATTAGCCTAGTTTCGAAACGTCTTCGAGCTCCCCTTTGTCCCTTCACAGCACACATAGTGCAGCATCAGCGACAGTTAGGCTGATAATCAGGAGAAACCGGTTTTGTGTTGAGATGGATCAGGGACACAATACTGATGGCCGTGGGAATGCGGAAACGACATATTGTCGGGAGAGGAGACGATATCCATGCCCAATTGTGCCCACATTGATCCTTGTCACTTAACCAACGTGCCTAAAAAAGACGAAATACCCTACCTATACTTGTCCTCCAACGAATGATAACCAAATACCGCATCTCTCTGGAATACTGTCAAAATCTGCACTGCATTTGCTGAACCAGATCCACGACATGCGTACAATCCCAGTGTTTTGGTTTGGAACACTCGACATCGCCCACTGTCCCTACACCTGTGAACCTGTCTGCTCGTGCTTGGCGGTTAAGTCAACAACACCCCAGAGGGTAGGCCTATATGTCCATATATACGCCCCCGACTCTGGTGCAAGGGATCTACTCAGTGCGTATAGGCAACACAGCGTTTTAAATTCCCTATCTAATATAGGCAACACAGCGTTTTAAATTCCCTATCTATTATGCATAATTCCCCTTAGCAAATTCATTGACTATTAATGTTTTTTTTGTTGTTGCTATAGTTTAAAAAAAGAAAGCTGCTGGTAACATAATTATAACCTATTGCTGAATCATCGCAGTGTATAATGTAGAAGTAGCCTATAGTATATAAATATGGTATTGGTGTTGCTTACACATCAATTACTCATTGGTTTAATCTATTGCATCATGTACAATTAACACAATATTATTAATGTGAACATATACTATGCAATAACAACAAAAATACCCATTAAAGGTATTTACCAATAATATATATTTTGTAAGAACAAGAACAACCCTTCCCTTATACATCCATGACAAAATACAAAAATACCTCGTTTCTGTTTGATAGCACACTGTTTTATTAGTATATTTAGCTTTGTGATGTACAGCTTGGGAGAAAAAAGTCTAATTTTTAAGTTTGGAAATATTTTACCTTAGCAGTGACATCACACTGAAGAAAGCTTAATTTGAAATCATTGGTTTTTCATTAATCAAAGTGATATGTTAGGTAAAATAACCACCCCATGCTGTTTCACATTAAACAAACAGAAATCGTTTTTTTCTTATTTTTTTCAATCTTTAAGTTGCTTTACATATATATTATCAACACTTTTCTAAATAATTAAAATATTTAGCCACATGTACTGGAAAAAAGGTATCCACTGTTATATATGTAACACAATAAATATAAAAAAAGAATACTTATTTTTGATATAATTTATATGGTATTAAAGAGGGAAATGGGCCCTTCAGTAAGACGTGTTAAAAAAGTGATGTCCTTTTCCTGAGGTTTTTGTCTGCAGTTTAGTTTTTTCTCGCTAAATATACTAATAATCTAGAAAACCCTGCAAAGGGTATGTCAATGGCTTATCATTCACTGTGGAACAAATTCTCATATATTTGTAAAGTAGTCACACCAGAGCTTCAGTTCACTGTGACCCACTGGTTTGTGTGTATCAGGTCAGCTAAGGAGAGGGCATTCCTTAAGCCAAGCACACAGCTCTCCCAACAACCAGTTTCTAAATGTGTGACATTAACCTTATTTAGACACGGTCCCATTTCCCATCAATGTACAAGGTATTAGATTAACAGAGTGGGGAGGAGGAGAGAAATGACCAAATGAAATAAAATGACAAAAATAATTGCAAAAATCTGTACATGTAAACATCACACTTCCACTGAGTCCAAACTCAGGAGGAAAATACAGTTTCACATTGGTATTAGGTACAAATCGAAACTGAGAAAAAGACAATCAGCTTCTGGTACAGTAGGTAAAGCGGAAAACCTAAAACAGAACCAAGGAATCTAAAGCACCACCAAATTATAAAATAAAACAGACTATTATTGGAAAAACCATTTTGATTTGACTGTAGCTGTACACTGCCCTGATAGAAAAATAAAAGTTTTTTTTCTTCTTTTTTTTCTCCTTTATTGTTTTTTATGTCGAGCTATACATCTGACCAAAGCAGATATATTTTTTAAAAGTGTGTGTTCATTCACGGTACCCTGACCAGCACCACACCGCACCTGCACCTGTCCGAGTGGAACCGTCTCTGTTGGGGGCGTCATTTGTAAAGTCAATGAGCTCCAATGTAATCCAATGTCAGCTGGAGCTAAAAACGGTATGATAAGGGAATCACACCTTTCCCACAGCAAAATGCCACTGCTCTTCACTCAAAACACTGCCCCTCCACTGAAGTGCTGACACTACCACATAGCATTCCCAGGGGTAGAGATACATACAGTAGTATGGGAGTTGGTTTCATGAAGGGCATGGTTAAGGCCATAGACTTGGTCTGTGCTTGGTTGGCACATTCTCTGGCATGTCAAGTCTTGTTGGCCCTAAGCAGGAAAATAATCATGGCTCCAATCAACAATGTTTGACACTATTCACAAGGTCAACAATGCTAATCTTAACAGAGGGCACTCCCTCAAGCATTTGGCAGGGTGTAGGTTTTGTGTTGGGCACAGAGGTCTGAGGTCACATCACTAAACGTGATGCTGGTCAGGTTGGTTGTTAAACGTGTTGACATCCTTGTTTGGAATGTACAGTATAGGCATACAGAGTAACTTCACTTGAGATGTTGGTTTTTGTACAAAATATTATTTGAAAAGACCACTTACTTGCACTACAAAATATATATAAAATAAGAACAAAATTAATAATAAAAATAGAAATCAGATAAAAATGTGTATCGACAGTGGGCCACTATGAGTGCTCCACCGCTCTTGAGGAGTCAGAAGTATGAGTAAGAATGCTCTGATTATGGCTAAAATACTTGTCATCTCCAAGACGCACTGTATACAATAGCTGCACACAGAAAAGGAATGGAAATCAAACCGTGAGCAAGTTACACCTTTCCAAGATTGTCTTTGCCTATTTTTACAGTATGTTCTCTTAATGTATGTAGCTGTTTGTGAGAAACTACAGAGCAAACCCCAGAGGTGCAAACGGAGGAGGGAGGAGTATTTAGCGAGAGCCTCTTTACTATATAATCTCATCTCTTACCACCTTTGTACAGATACATTTAATTGTCCCTTGGCTATATTACAAATGCATAACTATCACAATCTTCTTCTTCTTCTTCTTCTTCTTCTTCTTCTTCTTCTTCTTCTTCTTCTTCTTCTTCTTCTTCTTCTTCTTCTTCTTACAAAACCATATAGCAGATGTTTGTGGCATTTGACGTTACAAAATTCAGCAGTCATTTCTAAAGAGGTGGGATCCATCAATCCATCACTCTGTGTTGACCTGGGGTAATAGGGAAATACATAGGACGACAACACTGGCACTAGCATCCACTCTGTAAGATCATAAACTCTTACAGCACTATGTACAGTTTGGCCACAGTACTGCGTGTACTACTTGTCTGGCAATCCTTTGAAACCTCAAACCTGCAATGGCAAAAAGGCAGTTTTAAGATGGACGTTAACCCCCCCCCCCCCAAAAAAAAAAAAAACTGTCATACTCTAATTAATCTACTATGTTACTGTACTGATACACTGCTATAGTTGTATGTGCTGAGGTAATTGTAGCCTAAGACCCCAGGGCAGGAGCAGAGTGAGGAATGGATCCACAGAAATGAGGGCGATACTTATAAGAAAACTAATTTTGAAGCCCTCACAGCCACGTTGCGAGAGAACACAGTGAGGGGTTTCCCCTTGACTGGTCATTTTGCATATTTCTCTTGTGTTTGTGTCGTTTTTACCCACTAAGCAGATCTAATCAAGAGCTTGTCTGCGATAAATAGGACGTCTTGGACTCTATTTTCTACTTTCTATCTAGCCATAATATTTCCATAAATTAAATATTTGTACATCAATGTGTACTCATTATGGAGATCAGATTTGACATTGCACATGTATGCTGGGTGGCTAGATCAAGGTGTTGTTATGTGGTTCAGAGTGGGTCACCAGTGAGCACAGTGCTCCATTCAATCTCAGGCCACGGAGCTAGCACACCTAAATCAATGGCTTTCATTTACACAAGGGTCCCCCTCAATAGTGGTGGTTGTGATACGTCGTAGGACCCACACTATGGGTTCAGGTAGCCTATTTTCTTTAACACTATGCTTTCAAGGGGCAGGAATGTGATGATTATCAACTGCATTGCAATACTCGTCCTCTTTCCTTTAGTAGGACACACCTCACCAGCGCAAGATGGAGCCCTGAACAAGCAGGGCCCCCGTCACAGATTTCTGTTGCTTCAGTGTGCAAAAGGGAGCAAATTACAGTGACACATCAATGAGCCCCTTCTGGCTTGCCTCTTGAAGAAACATTTAGCATTTTTTTCTCTCACACTCATTCTAAAAGGTACAAACCTCCCAGACTTTGACTGCACATTATACAGTAAGATAGGCCCAGAGCACCCTTGTGAGTGGCTGCAAGAGGAGCACACTGATCCCTATACGCCTCCAGAGGTTCAAAGACATGAAGAAAGCAAAAAGGAAAAAGTCACTGTACAAACAACACAGCCCTATGAAAGAACAAAAAGATCAACCAGAGTGCCTAGTAGCAGAGAGAAACAACTGACTGGGATGGCATGTCGTTTTTTAAAAGTTCGATTTTAGTCTCTGTTATCCATTTTGAGTAGTTTTAGCTTCTTTTTGTTTGTGTTGTTGTCTTGAGGTGCTCTGGTTGTGCAGGATGATGGTGTCCTGACTTGAGGTTACACGTCTGTGGCAAAAGTCTGGTACATATAGCAGCAGCGTGGATTAATGGCCATCTCAAAGAGTCAATAGACAAAGACATAAGTTATCCCTCCCAGATCCAAGCTGGACTGGCCTCAGGTCAGGGAGGAGAAGGGTGTGGTGGATGTATAGGTCCAGAGGAGGGGGATAGGTTCATGAGAGGAATGCAGAACCAGACACAGAAAGAGACAGGGTATCATCGAGTGATGAGTCGGGACAAACCAAAACCTGGAATTGATGGGGGAGCAACGAGCCACCAGAGGGTTGGAAAACATGGGGGACTCTGGAAAAAAAAAAACAGCTATCGTTGGAGAGTTTCATTCTCCCACAGAAAATACTTCCTTGCCCCCAGTCCTTCATTTTACTGATGCTTTTTCATGTTCTCTTCATGGTGTTTCTAGAATCAAATATGGACTGAATATTTACAGTATACAAATAACGGGACAAACAATACTTTTGTAAAATTTGAACTATAGTTACAATATTTATTCTGGAATCTTCTTGAAATGGTTAAGACTTTGCTTCCTGCAGGTCTATGAAAACACTGAACACATCAGGTAGTAACTGGTGAGCGTTGTGTGATGAGCATTGTGTGATGTCGCCACCCAGTAGTAGATCTGAGGTATTTCCATGTGGAATAGA